TCAGGCACTAAATAAGACTAAAATTTGACATAATCAAGTATTTTTAAAACTGATTCTCATCATACATATATGAATGAATCAGTTTTCATCTTTGACTACAAAATTTGACATTCAACTAGGCAATATGCACAGTATGCACATATGCCAGTTAGAGACTGACCATTTGCAGTCCTAACACATCGATGGGAAGATTCAAACAAACAATACTAAGTGAATTTAAACTTCACCCCATTGCACAAGCAAGTGGCTATTAGGATTCAGTAGCTGAGTAGAGAACGCGATGGCGTTTGAAGCGAAAGTTACTGGGTTCGAGTCTCAGGGCGAACATCAACTCTGAGATGCAGGTGCATCCAGCTGACGAGTGTGAAATAGGAAGAAGCGCGCGTACTGGGTTCCACTGCTAGCCACTATCCATCTTTGCTTACAATTCAACTATTTAGTTTTAACATTATTTGAATAAAGTAACTGATTAAGTAGTTAGTTGATTACATCTCAACTTCAAAAAGGAAGAAAAAAGAAAAAAATACTTCAAATCAGTAAGCAGAATAAATAAACTGAAAAAATCCCTGTTCCTACAGACAATGCAACACAGTTTCTCAATGTAGTTCTTAGTTGAATTTTCATATTAGAAAAACAAGTTAAAGAATACACTTAAAATTTTGTTCAAGTGAAAATCAAAATAACACTTTCAAATATTTCATAGAGATTTATAAAATGTTGAATTACTTGAGAACTATCAGCAGAGAATAGTTCTGATCTATTGATTTCATATTTGAAATATAATTTTTTCATTTAATGTATGATAGATTTATCATTCTTCGAAAAAAAGAAAACTAATTATATTCTGTTTATAGCTAATCCATTTTATTAGCAACTTGCATGTAGGAGGCCAATGTTTCCAAATATACCGAAATGAAAGCACGTGCCGGAAAACAACAATTAAAAAATTCAAAAAGTTTTAATAGTTAAATTCATGAGTCATTCGAAGCTAGACCATAACATGGGAAACTTGGAATCACTGGACAGCCGTTTCGTCCTATTGTGAGACTCCTCAGCAGTGCTCATCCACAATCCCACCTCGCGAGATTCGAACCTAGGACCAGCCGGTGGACAGTGGAGCAATTTCAAGGATTGTTTGAAGTCAAACATTAACACCGTTGGATGCCGGCTCAGCGATCTGAAGGTTAGGCGTTCGCGCACGATACCCGTAGATACTGGGTTCGAATCCCAAGGGGCGGGATCGTGGGTGCGCATTGCTGAGGAGTCCCACAATTGGGCGAAATGGCTGTCCAGTGATTCCAGGTTTTCCATGGTAGTCTAGCCTCGATTGACTCATGAATTCAACTAGTAAATTAATATAATATCCACAAAACCCCTCTCTGCCTTTGAATAGTATTTTTAAATAGATTGGTAATTGAAGCTGCTTTGTTCAGTAAAATTTGATCAAAGATTCTTATCGTCAGTTGGTGACATTTTTTCACTTTGTCTCTTTATAAGTTTTATGTATCAGATGAAATGTAAATATGTCTAGTTTATAAATATTCTAATCAGATAATCCAATATTAAATACTTTAGAGGATTTCATGTTATTCTTCAAAAACAAACAGCGCTATTCATGAAGTTAGATAGTTTACTCAGATAATTGTATAATCTAATTAAACATGCAATTTTAAACCTATTGTTCACATATATATCCAATTCTACCAGCTTCAAAATGTTTTCATAGCTATATTCGGTCAGTTTTTTTTTAAATATTGTGCATGTAACTTTCTTATCGAGAAATCTTTCTGTCCTTAACTTAGCTATCTTATTTTAGATCTAAAAATAGTATAAATATGATAAGCGATCATATGAATATTCATGTTTCAAGTGGTAAAACTACTGAGTTTTTCGTCTTACAAATATGCACCCTAAACAAATGTATTTATGTACTAATAGAAAATTAAAAGAGAAATTTAACCGAAAAAGTAAATAATCTTAACAAATATAAATTCGTCTTATTGATTGAAAATCTACCATATTACGAAATAAATTCTCAGTCAGTAATATAAAAATCCATCCTATAACCTGAATACTGAATATGTTGAGCCAAATAAGTATTGAAAAATGTTTCGTGATAGTACTGAACTTCACAACAGTGTTTATCAATGATCTCATGAGGAATTTAACTCAAAACCTTTATGTCTTTTTTAAAAGCATCTAACATTTAAACCATTATTTTTTATCATCCGACAGTTTGATAGCTAATTTCTCGTTGGAAAACCTAAATAATCTGAGTTTAAGCTCAGGTTGTTTCACAGACGAGTACTGCTGGATGTTCAATGCTAGGATGAATCATATATTTAATGTCTTTTGATATCCAAAAGCTAGTTGGCCGTGAGGTAAACTTACGAAATTCAACAACCTTCAAAACCTGTTATATTAGAAAGTACACTTGGAGTGTTGATATAACACTAATATTCTCATACATTATAACTAAATTGTATATGAATTAATGAAGGTACTGATATGATGGAATGAAAAAGGCAAATTACATTCTTTTATTCATTGTAGATTTTGTCCAACATTACTTTCCTTTTAATTCAATGTGATTACTCTGTGTAGTATTTATGTTTGCTTTCCAATGTGATATTTTATTCGTTATAACATTATTCTATTTAAGTGTGTTGTTTATTCAAGATACGATATTCTTTTATTAAATTAACGTGAACTTTGATCAGCAGGATATGCAGCATGTGATTTGTTATAACTTGGAGTATATTTCGTACATGTGATTTTATTCCAATTAATAATTAAGTTTAATTTGGTCAATTGTAACGCCTTGTGTCTTGATTAATTATGTCCCCGTAAAACAGTAGGACAGTAATTCAAAGAAGCAATTAAGTTATGTAGTCTTGCACAATTATTAAGTTCATTGTGCGAAATATTATTTAGTGGAAATTAGGCAATAAAAATTCGAGAAATGAGTATTCCTTTAACTAACAAACTGTTTTAGTTATCACTGTAGAACTACCCATGGTGATGGTATTTAAGAATGTGGTCACATTCTCACCGTTCGCATATACGGATTATCACTAGGCTCAGATGGCATCTATTTACAATTTGAGCTGAAATCTTTTATTGAACAAGAATAAATATTCACATTAAATTACAGTACCAAAATTAACGAACTGAATTTGATATCTTTATTCTGGTTAGACAATGATACTTTACACAGTTGATAAACGATGGAAATGGTGATATACATCGATCAACAACCGTGTGTTCGAGTTGTACTTAAAATCCCTTGTTAGTTTATTTTTATCTGATCTGAAGAACCCCATTTCAAAGTTACATCTAGAAATTTAAATTTAAATATAATTATATATATATATATATATATATATATATATATGAAGTTGGGACGACGATCTTTGTAGAATATGATGAGTTCATCGTACATTGTTCTTTTTTCTTCGGGTTCATAAAATCTAATATGATAAATTATTTATAATCAATAACATAATATTAAAAAAATGAATTGTTAATGAACAACAAATAAGTTGTGTATAGTATGAAATAAGTTAGTGATTATTGTTTCGAAAAATAAGCTCCATTTAGAATTCATTAGATGATAGCTCTAAAATATTGTCATAATTTTATCATCTGATATAACATTATGTTCGGACGTTTGAGAAGGAAAGAGGAAGTGTAAGTCTGACTCAATGGATTATGATTACAATAAAATGGAGAAAAGAAACTTCAAAATGTTACCAAGGCAGCTGACGGTTAACTTCTGACTCTTTGAATATGAATGTAATTTTTAATTTATTTAGTTTCTATGGCTTCTGGAAAGTTAAATAACGAGGATTTGAGTTGTTTATTGATAAGTCTAAAAGAATTCATTGAACGCATATTGTGCTAATACTTTTTAGTAGGTGGGATGCTACTGAACTGCATAAACAAGTTCTTCCTCAAAGATGTAGGTTATTTTGAACATTATCACTAAAGTGAATGAAAGTCCGTCTTTTTGTCTTTCTAATATTCATGTTTATATATATATATATATATATATATATATAAATTGATATAAGCAGATGGGAAAGTTTCGTTTACTTTTTTCTTTAATATTGAGCAATATTGTGTCTAATGGATTTAAATTCTCAGTGGCGAATTTTGTTTTTAAGAGCTGCTTTCAAGTTTTAATGAATTATATTCACTATTTGTTCATCTTTTAATGATACTCGAGTGATAGCTTTTTTATTTAAGGTTTGTATTCACACATTTTATTTCGGCGTTCGATACTACATTGCCTTATAATTGATTAAGGGTATCGATTTTCTAGCAGACAATCATCAAGCGGAGTATACATCTTGAGCTTTCCTAATGAACATGACTTTCCTCCTGTGTGTAAAAGCATTTTTACCAACCCAATTTGTTGGCTTTAAGAGAAAAATCTCTGAAAGTTCAAGTCTTGTTTACTCCGAGATCGTTCCCGATGTACGTGCACTTGACAAATTCAACTGCTTTTTCTCAAACTACTTTAATCAAGTATATGAAACTTATCTTTTCTTCCATGATTCACTGTGAAATTAACATTGTGATGAACTATATTGAATAATCTGCGTGTTGTATTATCATGATTTATGTATTTACACAAAACAAAGTATCGTAAAAGTGCCTTACATAAAGCACGGTCACCTTGACAATAGGTAATAATTCTGTTCGATCCAAATTTGCAACAAATATATCAGCAAGGACAGATCCTAAAGGATTGAACATCGCTAATAAAATATCGCTGATGTCATTACTATCGGTAACATTTAGAAACGATAATCACATTAGCTCATGTATAGATAAAGAGAAAAAGAAATACAATGAACTCATCGTATTCAGCAAATATTGCCGTTCCTGCTTTGCTCAAGCTTGTGAAGTACCCCAAAAACATGAATATATATATATATATATATATATATATATATATATATATATATATCGTGCGACAAAGTTAAATTCTAAACCATCAGTGTTAATGTATGCAACTTTATCCATGACAAAATATATATCACAGCATCTGTTAACCGGGAACTTGAGGAAAATAAACAAGTTCAATATTCTAAGATTATGAAAAATAAAAATGAATTATATTCAATCAAAATTCATTTCAGATTTTATTCATAGCTCTATTGATTAGATCAACGTAGGTTATGTTACTAAAAACTTGGATTTCTTTCCATTATATATTTACCTATAACGCAGAGTAACGAGAGAGTGTTTATTTAGTGTTTTGACTGGAACACTTGACTACAAAAAGGAATTTTTTTTAATGTAACCATAGACAAACTAATGAATCACCAAACATGTCATTTGATATATCAAGCTGTTTCTTTTCAGTTTACAAAAAAGTAAACATATTTCTCACTTTCATTATATACTCAATTACAGTACACTCATTTTGAATCATCTTACTCTATGTTTTTACATTTCTTTTCTTCATAATCATTATTTATGAAGTAAAAATCTCACATTTAAAAAAAATATCCTTTAATTTACTCTTTATTCTTCACAGATGAACTATGACGTTCAATGGTTTGAAATCGTTTATTTCAATTGCTTAAATGATACATAATATAAATCTTGGTCATACTTAACTTCAATTCAGTTTATAATAAAGTTGTAATTTTAGTTGGTGATTATTCGATCCGTTTGAAATAAATAGATAATTATAGTATAAATTAACTTTCGTACAAATGAATGTAATGGAAATAAAAAGGTATTTACATTGAAATACCGCACACATTATATGTATAATAATAATAATATAAAAAGGTAACGTGAGCTGACGTACATCTTTTCCAAGATCTAATATTGATTAGAACTGACTGATAATAACTTCATGGTTGTTTTTTTCTATATAACTTATGATAAATCATTTTGAATTAAGTGTATTTCAGAAATAAAATCTTTATATTAATTTAAACAAGAAAGAGAGTCGAAATTGTTGAACTTTTATTCATTTATATATAGATTATTGTAAAAAATATCTAAGTGTATATTTTATAGATTGATCTGATTCGATATACAGTATATAACAAATATTAGTTCTATTTTTATAATTATATGAATTAATACCTTGATTCCAAAATGGTAATGGACAATTTTGATTGTAAAATATCGGTTATTATAGTGAAAATATCAAGTGACACATCTTTACGTACTTTACTAATGAATTAAAGATGAAGACAATAATTTATCCGATATTAATCAAGTATAAACTTATGGATATAAAAATGAATAAAGAGGAATGAAAGAATATATGAAGAGCACAAATAGGAAAATTTATGTACATGATGTTTGTCCATTGGTCAATATAATTACAATGGAACCTTGATATACTTCATCAGGTGTAACTCTCACTATTGAAATGAATTTGGTCTTTTTTTTATGTTACATAATAGATCATATTTCAAAAAAATAATACAATATATAATAATCTGACTATCTTCTCAATTGTTATTTATTATTCACATTCATTTACAATGCTTTTTAATAATTGATAATTAATCTAAACTTTATCATCAGATATCTTGAATTATATTTATTATGAAATAATTTCGTCGTATCTGTTACATTTTACATTGTTGTAACAAAATTAAAGTTGTAAGCTAGAAAAAAAAAGAAGAACAAATGTTTAACAGTAAACTAAAATGAAAAGAATGATACAACTGACAGAGCTACCATGTTTTTTTAAAGTACAGATTTTATGGATAAGAGAAAAAAACTGATTAAATAAAAAGAGAAAATTTCAGCAGAACACCTAATCATTCAAATCATAAATATTTTACAATGAAATTCAAAATTACATTATGTCTGTACATAAATTGATATGAAGAGTCAATCAAAAGTAACAAACGGTTAATCGATTGCAATCAGAAGTGACCTGAAGGTCAAGTGCATTCCATTGAGATTAGTATGTCAATTTCCTAAGGATAAAGTGGTATATATATATGAGTATTTGTGCATTACATTCGGTAATCCAGTACCCTTTCTCGATCACTCTTGCTTTTTCACTCAAGTAATCAATTGGGGTTAGCGAGTAGCATACAGTGTATCAGTATCAAATTTTGGACGCCGTCCGTCACAGCACAAATAAATTTGTATGTATTAAAGAAATTCATATCTTGATCAGACATAATAAGTATTGGAATGAATGGGTTGTATTACAGACCATTTCCATCTGAATGAATTATTGTGAAATATTATTATTTTCTAAAAACATGAATAGAAAGACTGATGTAGACGAAAGCAACTACGTATATGACTATATGAGTCGTTGAGAACATTATTGAGGTAGTGGGAGAATAAAAAGAGTAAATAAGTTTGGTACAAGGTTTTTTTAAAATTACAGCCAGTTTTCGTACAGGTGAGTACATAAAAGTGAACTTCTCGCTTTAATATATTACAGATATCTGAAAGATTTTATTTGACCACAGTAATTTGGAGCAGATATCACGGGGATTTATACACCAGTATATGATTTTATCACCATTTCTTCTAATTGGGAATGCGAAACTCCTGTAAAACGATTTATTTCATTTACTTCTGTTCATTATGTGATTTCACAACCAATCCAGTTAGTGAACGATGGATATTTTCTGTTTAATAATACCGAAGTAGTGGAATAAATTACTTTGATTTTACTCAACTGTAATGATTTTCCAAATGTCTAAAATAAAGAAATATATTTTCAATAAGAAATAGAAAAAGCAATATTTTTTTATGAAAAAACGTGACACTATAATTGAACTACAATCATATTTTTCGATTAATACCATTATTCTGACTTACTCGTTTTACATCTTTGTATAAAATGTGATATAAAAACATTTTACAGATCATCACCATAATCTAGCATTATCTTAACTGTCAACTCGTTTACTAGTTACAGTGAATCTTACATTGTAATGAGACTTATAAAAGCTATGCGAGTGATGTGGGTGAACGTTTGACGACTTAACGGATGAAATGATTTTTTTAAGTAAAATAGATTCATAAATATAAATGATAAAGTACTGGACTCGATACAAACCACGCTTTTGTCCTCATATGCTCTGGTATGGCCGAGGATTAAGATAGTCCGCTCTCCCTCTCCAAATGCTCTCACATGCCCACGTGTATACAGCCACTGTCAAGGAATTCCTACTCATTGCCTTCTCGCAGCACGCGTGTTGCTTATGAAACTGAGAGTACGAAAAGCGAATGTTCAGAGCTTTCACCGGATTGTTGGACACGGAGGATCCACATAGAGGAGTTGGAAAACCCTGGTTCCAAACCAATGGTGCACATGAAATCCAGGGTCCGGAAGGAACAAAACTGGCATATGAACCTATTGTTGGTCACCGGCCACCATGGGACTGCATCTCCTGATGTTGCTCCACTTCCTTGTGGATTAAACTTTAGGTCAATGACTCAGGGTGTGGCTCCCTAAGAAAACTACCTGCTTTGGTTTGGGTGCCCAGATTGTATCACAGCTCTCACGCAAATCAATGATAACTACTATTAGACTCATTGTTACTTTGTGGCGTATATGTATTTGGTGCCCCCCGCTGTACCTATGTTTATGTGTTCAAACAAATGAACAATAAATATAAATGGACTAATGTCTCAAGATATTTTACTAGCAGTAATTTAAAATATTTTTCAATACGGAATAAATGTTTTGTAAAACATCAACAGAAGTTATGCAAAGTTAGAAGAATATAGCTTGTTGAAATAAGTTTGCAATTAATTTTGCACATAAAATGTCAAGAAAACAAAAATATTTGAAAAACAGTATTAAAATTTATTGACTGAATTATTGCTCTATAAATGTATAAGTTCTTGTGTTAACAGTCAATTTTAGAATGTGGTATTAACGATACTATACTTATGAAACTTTTTTGATGTTAACCATTGACCTATCTTATTCTTTTGATATTCAGCATATACTATAATTCTCTAGTTACTTTAAGAATAAGTAAATTCTAGAAAAAGTAAAAAAATAAAATATGGAATAGTTTCCGTATTCAATTCTATACGATAGAAAATTTTCCAGTTGGTTAAATAAATTAAATGAAAAAAAATTATAAATTATTTACTAGTTTTAATTTTTTTTCAAGAGAAATTATAAAATCAAAAAGGGGTTGATAATCTATTTAGTTTACTGACTGAAATGAAAATAGGCAATGTTTTTTAAAAGGTGATTTCATAAAAGATTCACATGTTTCCTTGAAAACAAACGAAATACATGAGTAAGCGAAATTCAAAATAAGCTAATAATATTGCTCATAAAAATTTTAAACTTCGTATTTATGATATTATAGGCTCTAAATGATCGGTTTTTCTTGATATCTTTCCATCGTGAGAGGATTATCTCGATAGTACTATTAAATCATGAGTTAATATTATATGAGCACTAGAACATTTTGTCCTGCAGATGATCTAAGATATAACATAACAACTACATATTCCTCATCAAAATTTCGTGGTTGATTAAATGTCTACATAATTTTATAAATATGATATACGTAAAACAATGTCTTGTTCAAGTTTAAAAGCATGAGATCAATGCTTTTTGAATTCGTAAAACTACCTTCATTAATTTACTATTAAAATGAACTTTCGGAATGAAAGCTGAATTTTCTAATAAGAGATGAATATATGTTTCAAAATCAATCTTCATGGTAATTAATATACGTTTTACTTGGACATATGTAAGGTAATTGCAAGTGAAAAGTAATTTTCATTAGTAAAAATTCAATAAAACAATAAAGGGACCTTTTATTGCATAACATATGTACATAATACATGATAGCCAAACACTAAATAATATCCTTTGTTTCCTATTTCTAATGAAAAAATAATATATTTGGTTGAACTAATAAAAAAGTTATGTTAAGATAGTTTACAAGTAACATTATTTATTAAAACACGAAGCAATTTATCTTTATTTTAATACAACGAGCTACACCTGTTCACTTAATCTACATTGGTTTAATTAAATTATATAAATACAGGTATTTATATTGAGAAATATAACATAGCTGCCTAACGTATAATAAATATTTAACCAAATAAAGGAATAATACTAATCACTGTTCCAAGAAAATAGTAAATGATTCTAAGATTTACCATATAAATTTATAGGTTTGTCGAATGACAATAGTGCAATTAAACAATCAGTTATGATTTCGTACCATTGTTCACTAAGAGGAAGATATTTGTCTTTACTATGATCTTATCTACCCACTGGAGTTCATTTAACTTTGTAGCTGATTAGGTTTGTGTTCATACACCCTTACTTGCAGATCACGACTGCTCCTCGTATGTATGTATTTCGGCTCATACATGTAAATTGATAGACCGAAGGGGATGTGATACAATAGTTTGCATACTGCTTGTTTGTTTCGTGAAACATATACCTTGATTTCTCGATAGTGATGAGTTACGCTGCGTAAAACGCCTTAATGATAGCTAGTTTAAGTCTTCTTTTCAACATGAGACTATTCGGATCACTTCTGAATGTTAGGGTAATACGGACTCCTTTTTGAGTGTAGGTAATTAAGAAAGTATTAAATGAATAGAAGTAACTAACGAAAACGACGTTTGAAATGGAGGAAAGGGAATTACAAACTATTATATCATAAAATTAATTTTATGTAAGTGTGCTGCCTAAACATTATGGTTCAAAATGATTGAACATGTAGCATATATGTGAACTAAAAATCTATAAAACCTTATAACTTCGATTCTGCTTTTAAAATAATTTATTTGACGACGTTACACTTATATACGATAAGTAATTGTTAGTCAACTAAGTTCATAATTATTAAAATAGAAAACTAGAAAATAGATCATTATAGTGAAAGGCTTACATTCTTTGTCCCTAAAGTAATATGTTGAGAGTATTTAAAGCATTGAAAATATCGTGATTGGTTAAAATATTGTCGAAGAACGTTCTCAATATGTCTAGATGAACATTTCTTTTTTGACTGAATATATGGAGATATAGTATACTGAGAAACAAATTACTTCTGACTGTAACAATGTTCAAGCAACTTGAATATAATTTGTAAGTGTCATTACAAAGGTTTGATTTGATTATTTCAAAGAAATTGAATATTGAGTATATTGTTATTAATCAAAATAATATATGTGCAATATTCCAATGCGTAGGAAAATTGAAATCTTAAATTTTTTGACATTTATTGACTCAATGTAAGCCATTTCTCCAAAGAAGTTAGTTTTTCTACGTATTGGGATATTACAAATATATTATTTTAGAATAACTTGAATATAAGCTAGTGATAGCATATTAACTAGGGCTCAGTATTATTAAAATGCTAATTATTGCATGAATAATTGGCTTCTATATCCATCCTGAAACAAATAATAACCGATCAAAACATTTTTATAGTTATTAATTTCACTGGGTCACAGGTTGAATTTCTTCCCATCACTATCAAACCCAGAAGTGCTAGAATAAGTTGATTTAGAGACTACTTCCACCCATTTTAATTATCTAATATTATTTACAACATCATGTATCATTTAAGTGAACAGCCGAAACATTTTGATTAGAACTGAAAACCAGAGTTTATTATTTTCAATCATTAAGTGATCAAGCAGCATATATCCTAACACATCACGAACATTGTTCGAATGACTAAAAGTATCACTTTTGATATGACAAGTATTTAAAAAGCCTCTTTTAATAATTTGTCATACAAGCTCAAATGAAAGGATATCAGTAGGTACAATAACTTTATTTCTAAGATAAGGTAAAAACAAATTTGTCAATATAAATTACGCTATCAAGACTGTCTTATTTGAGAGAGCTGAACTCATATTTTTACGTCAATTAGATCATAACATAAATAAATATATCAAATTCTATAACGATTACCAAGAAATACGTAAACTTGGTCTGTAAGTTTGACTTTGAAATAAGTCCTTGTTGATGGTGATAAATAACCCAATTTCGAAAAATAGACAAACGACAAAAAAAACACTTGTTTCCAAAAATATGGGGGAGAAAGTGCAATCTAAATACAAATCATTAGATATCGACTAATAGACTAACAATTTACATTAGCATGTGATGTAAAAACATCATCGAAGTTTATTCAGTTAAACATATTTGATAAATAATTTTATAATTCCACTGACGAAGTTAAAAAAAAATAATAGAGACGTAATTATATGGAAAGTGTTGTCCATATGGGATGTCGTATAATTTTAAGAAGGAAATGAACAACAAAGTCATTTCCAAACTGTCATTGTTCATAATCCATTCATATATCAACCATAGTATCGAGCAAATTATCAGTTGTTTACCATAGCTTGTTTTAGGTAAATCTGTCTTGCATTAAGACAAGATAATTCTCAACGATTTAAAAGTATTTAGTCCAAAACATAATAATACATCTGCACAATTATTCATACCTACACGAAGAAAGATAGTTTGTTAGATCAACTTTTTCGAAGGTAAAAGACGGAATTTTCGGCAAACAACAGGAATAAACTGTTAGATGTTTATAATCCATATAAATATTTAATAACAATTAAAGTCGTTAAAGTTACGGTTATCTAGTCTAAATATGTACTTAATTGATGTCAAGATATATATCTAACATTTCTGCTTGTATATAAGAAGTTTTAGCAAATTTATGGTTAATCGATCTGTAT